GAAGGATTACGGATGAAAAAGGATTTAAATTTTTGAACTGGTTGAGCGTCAACATTTGAACAATTAATCAAAACTTAAGGTTAATAAAATATGCAGGTTAGAAAATTAAATTTAACAATTTCCGGTTTTTTGCTAAACACTGCAATTGTTGTCGTACTCTCCTTTCTTTCTTCTTTTTATTAGCTTGATAATTATTCTAATTGTTGTTCAACCGAGCTTAGTAGTAGTTAGTACTCGACAATACCAAAACTTTCTGGATGTTCTCTGTTGATGCGTTATCATTAGCAGATTTTTTGCATGACACAATTAACTGTATTGCATGGAAACACTGATCCATTAGCAAATTGTTGTGTTTTGCTGTTTTAAGGTCGACACATTTATTGCAATCGGTGGAGTAAATTATGGTCTCCAAAACTGTCCAAAATTTTTGCATGGTTGTAATTCAATTAATTCGATGCACTGTGAAAGCAAACTTTTGGTAAGGCTCAGTTTTCTTCTTTGCGAAACTTTTATTTATTTTAAACTTTTAATAGTTTATTTATTTATTTACTTTTTTTTTGTCAGCTGTTGATCATTACAGATGTTTTTTTTTTTCAGCTTTTTACTTCTTTGTTCTTTTTTTTTTTTTGCAAAATTTCTTTCATTGATCTTTGGTTGTGAACTTCGGATGTTTACAGTTGGTGTGAACAATACTATTGCACAACTGAGCAATTCAACTAGCGAGAAAAAAAACTCTCTTTTTCATGCTTTTAAATGTTAAAAATTTTAATTTTTATTTGCTACAAACAGTTACAAACAGAAATTAATGCTTGATTGTTTTAGTTTTTTTTTTTAGAATGTATAGCATTTAAATTTTGTTCAAATTTCACACAAATTTTATAGGTGAATGGTACGCTTCAGTTTAATTTACTCTTTTTTTGGGATAAAACAATTTTTTGCTTGTTTTTAATACTGCTGTTTTTTTTTTCAAAAAACAATGCAAGTTGTTTTTTTATTTATCATTATTTTTGTGTTTTAATAACGGCTTATTACATAAATTTTTTTTTTATTTTTAATCTTTCAGAAAGAACTGAATTTTCAACCGGAACGTTACGAAGGTACATATTCGTATTCAATATTTAGCTTAGGCGATCCTATTATTGGACAATTCTGCTGTGATCATATATGCTCGGATCTTCCAAATGCTAGTGAAACATATGAGAGGCTAAGTCCTGATCACGTATCAATATTAATTTATACAATGTCACTCCAATACGAATTGCTCGACCACTAAAAGAATTCAACAACAGTATATTTATAGAAGAAGAAATTTTTCTTCTAGTAATTTAGTAATTCTATTTTTTATTTACATAGCACTTCTTATTGCTGCAAATGTTTTTTTTTTCTGTTTTGTTTATGGAATAACTATCTGTTTTGCTTTTGATGCTTACTTTGATAAAAAATTTTCTCATATTAAAAAATAGCTAATAAAAAGTGTAGTGGCAAAAAAAAAATTTTGTAGTATTATGTGCAATACTGGGTAATAATGATATTAAAAGCAGTATTTTATTATTGTTAACTATAGCTTTCAACAATGTCAAATCATATTTTCATCAGTAAAGGAGTGGATAGAAAAAAAAAAAAGAAATTGTTGCTAATAAAGATGGTTTATTCTTTTTGCAACTGATGCAAAACAACAAAAGCTGTATTTGTGGAAACGTATTTACTCGGTGTAAACAAGCAAAAAAAAAATAAAAAAAAAGATAAAAAATGAAAACGTAGACATCCGACAATATTCTGAGAAAATTCACAAGTCAAAGTTTGATGTTGGTTTTTTTTTTTTTTGCTTTATCATTCCTTCCTATCTTTCTTCGTTTTCATCTATTTCATGGTTCAGTTCTTGTTTTTCTTTTCTCATTTCTCATCGTTATTTTTCTGCTTGCAACTTTTCAGTTCTGTTTATTTATTTTTCTTCTATGTCAACGATTGTTAAGAAAACGAATAAGGTTGTATTGGGGTTTTTTTTCCCCTTTTGATGTGCTTCAATCAATTGCTGCTTTAGTCATAAGAATCGGAAATAAAATTATTAGCTTGACAAAAACAGATGCTAAAAGTCGATGTGTAGTTGTGGTGCAATCAACGTTATGGAAAATTGAATTCTTCATCTGTGTAGACTGATTCCCGTTATTTCTCGCCGATTCATTGAGCAGTTTTCACTGCACCTAAAAAAATTTTATGATTATTCAAATGAAGTTTTTTTGAATGTACATATAGTAAATCATTTAGTGAACAAATCACTGACATTAGGAATGATTGAAAGATGAAAGGTATTATATAGGCGAAAATTTAGTTACTACCAAAAGCTTTTATTTTACTGCTGCATCTTTACAACTGAGTATTAGTCGAGATTTTTTGCTTATTTGTTAGATTTTTTTTTATTTTCTCTTAACTTGCAGTTGGTTTTTTTTTTTT